TTTGGATTGCTGAGGAAGGTTTTCTTATCTCTCCTTGCTATTCTTTGGAACTCTGCATTCAAATGGGTATATCTTTCCTTTTCTCCTTTGCTTTTTGCTTCCCTTCTTTTCACAGCTATTTGTAAGGCCTCTTCAGACAGCCATTTTGCTTTTTTGCATTTATTTTTCTTGGGGATGGTCTTGATTCCTATCCCTTGTACAATATCACGAACCTCCATCCATCTCTCTCTTAGAAAACTTTAATTATCTCTTACTGGCTATCTATACCTACCTCCTCTTATGGTCCTAATAGTCCTTTGCCCCCAGCCCCATGTACCCATGGCTACCAAGTAAGATTTTCCCACTCCTTAAAACCCCTCACTGGCACTCCATCATGCCTGCGAGCCTAGAAGTGGCATAACCATGCCGTTTATCCTCTAACCTGGGATCCTCGTGAGACTGCAAGGTGATGCTGTGAGTGGTTACACTGGTACAGCAGACAAACTCAGACTGTCCTGGGCAAACCTACGCACGCCTGCGGGCTCAGCTTCCCGCTTGTGTCCGACTCTTTGCGACCCCATGGACTGTAGCCCTCCAGGCTCCTCTGTCCATGGGATTTCCCAGACAAGAATACATGTCCTTCTCCACGGGATCTTCCCGACTGAGGGACTGAACCTGCATCTCCTGCACTGGCAGGCAGATTCTTTATCACTGAGCCATGTGCATGAGGCCCTCCCAAGTCTCTGCCGCACTTCCCACCGCACTCCCTCTCACTCAGCACCCCTCTATGTTCAGTCTGAGGAACTCTTCACTGTTCTCTCACCTCTATGCGTATCTTCCCCTCTTGAACGTTCTCCTCTGCCAGCAATATTTCTATTGATCGTTTCACCATGCTCCTCCCCAGTGGAGCTTCCTCTAAAATCTCCTGGCTGATCTGATCACATGTGCCTGCCAGCCAGCACCGTGCCTTGAACTTATCCCTGTGCTGGGTCCTGGGCCCCCACACTGTACGCATGGGCTGCATCTGCCCACCGCAGAGGAGCTTGTCCCAGTGTCTGTATCTTGTTCATCTTTATATTCCCAGCATCTGTGATGAGATCACAGGTCTGCACCCAGCAGGCATCGCTCATCTCATTTCTCATGTCATGTCTTATATTTAATAAAAACTCTTTTGCCTTAGCTGCAAATTCAGCACAATTATCGAAAGATGAGAAGATGAGACAGGATGAAATAAGGACTAGTCAGCAACTCCTAATGCCAGTCTGGTATATCACAGACCATACCTCCATTTAAGCAATTGCTTTTTAAAAGAGAGCCTTGGGATTATAGCGTCTCGGTTAATGGCAGAACCCCTAGAGCAGGCCATGAGAGGGAAACAGGCATGGCGATAAGCCAACATCACATTAGAAACTGTCCACTAAATTCTTGAGGCTTCTAGTATAAAAGAAAAACAGTGCCGAAATAAAATACACCTGCTGAGTATGCATGGGTGCCATGCAGGGGTGGGGAGAATGACAGGAATCTTGCTGCCCTGACAACAGCAACATGGAGATGTGCCTTCAGAGAAGACTCTACACTTTTCTACACATTCTGTCATCTGACCTTCAAAACAACCCTGTGAGACAGATCAGATGTACAATGAGGTTCAACCAACATGTCTTTCTTTTTTAACTTCACTTTTATTTTATATTATAGTTGATTTACAATGTTGTGTTAGTTTCTGCTGCAAAGCAAAGTGATTCAGTTATACATATATCTATTCTTTTTTCAGATTCTTTTCACATACAGGTTATTACAGAATATTGAGCAGACGTCCCTGTGCTATAGGTCCTTGTTATCTATTTTAAATATAGTAGTGTGTATATGTTAATCCCAACCTGCTAATTTATCCTTCCCCACCTTCGCTTTCCCCTTTGGTAACTATAAATTTATCTTCTGAATCTGTGATTCTGTTTCTGTTTTATAAACAAGTTCATTTGTATCATTTTTTTAGGTTTTACATATGAATGATATCATATGGTATTTGTCTTTCTCTGCCTGACTTACTTCACTTACTGTGATAATCGCTAGGTCCATCCACGTTGCTGCAAATGGCATTATTTCATTCTTTCATCAACCAACATTTTGTGAGCCTTGGCCATCCCTCTGGGATCCCAGGCCAATGCCCTCTTCACTGCCTGCACCACACCAGGCAAGCCTGATACCCTGCTCCTTTATGGAAAGCCCTCCAGGACCCCAGGTGGGAACTAGAGCTCCCAAAGTTCCACCAGCTGATCTGTCACCTGATAGCCAGAGATGATCTAGGGTGGCTGACAGGAGAGAGGCCAAACCAGGGGCATTCTCACAGAGCCAGGTCCCTGCGCTGCCACAGCGGAGGCAGGAGTGTGGGGGCTGGGGAGCACCATTCCTTCCTTGCGTAATACGCACAGAGACAGTCATTACATTCTCTGCATCTGACAAGGAAGCTGGGCCCCAAGGCGGCAGCAACGTGCCAGCTCAAGTTGAGCCCCAGCCTAGGAGCTAAACTGACAAGATAAGGCTCCCACAGACGGGGAGATCAGCTCTGAGCTTCTAAAATACAGCCCACACAGTGATGCTATAGATCCTGAAACTTGAACATTAAAAATCTCCTTCTCATGGGTAAAACAGCCCTTTTAACATCTTTTAAAAATACACACACACACACACCCCTAAGAGGAGCAGAATGCGAAGATATCGATCACTATCACTTTAGTGTGAATTAGCCCATGAACTCCCTGTCTTCCTTATTAGCAAGTGTTCCTGGAGAGAGGAGATCACTGAGCATCTTTCTGGAGTAAGAGACATTTGAAGACAGAGAACAGGAAGGACTAACTTAAAGGGGAGTGAAATTACCAAAGATGAACTTGGCCTGCCTCACCATTTTACCCAGGGTCACCTCTGAAAGGAATAGTATTGCAATGGCCTAGTAAGCACTCACCCCAAGTAACACTTGACATTCCTTTCTTATCACCATAACTAATAAATTAATACCATGAGAATATTGAGGACTATTCCAGTACCATTGTTCTGATGTTTCTAGTGTACAGTTAAGGAAGATAGAAACGTAATAAAATTTATTCTTAGAGAGCCAGTATAACTCTAAAAAGAGATGTAATGTAACAACAACAGCACCATCAGACCTGGTCTAACACACATGGCCTCACTCCTCTGGCCCGTTGCAACTTACTGCAGCATACTCAGGTAGTTCAGCATATTCAGAATCTCACCCACTCCTCATTCATGCCTCTATACTCACTGCTGGGTTTGTCTATACCATGGTTGTACCCACCTTCCATGTGCTGTAAGAATGTTCTATCAGCAATGTTCTGTAATATTACATTACATTTTATTTGACTGAGTTATGAGCAGATTCATTTTTTCTCATGAATCCTGTTTGTTCAAAATGCCAAGCAAAACCAAAAGATGTGTGAGCAGGCAGAAGACCCCTAAACTATAATTTGGACGGTTTTTTCATGTTCAAGTAACCTAAGTTTTTGCTAATTTCAATATCAGAGCAAAAAGATAAGATGCAACAATTGAGAGAAGTTGAAAAATACTAACCTTAAGATAATTTGCCCACATGAAGGAGAAGGGTTGAATGTGATAAGAGAAAATCATTTCTCAAAGGTGTCACCAATTTGCAAAATGCCAACACGAAATAGACAAACCATAAAGCCACACCTCTATAGACCTTGCAAGGATTTTAGTAATGGTAGAATAGCTTGCAAAGGACTAACCCTGCCAACGAAAACAATTAAATATTTAGAGATATATTCTAAAACAATTAATTGGAAACACTAGAAAAGGGACAGAAATTGCAAGGAATTTGATACACAAATTAATACAAGTTATCATTCCATAGCCACCAGCATGTCTAAAATTAAAGAGAATTACCACATTAAATGTTGGTGAGGTCATGGAGTAATTAGAACTCTCATACATTGCTGGTGGGAATATAAGAATACAACCACTTTGGAAAATCATGTGAGTTTCTTATAAAGTTAAACATGTATCTCCTCTGTTATTCAGCAATTCCACTGCTAGGCATTTACCCAAGAGAAATCAAGGTGTAATTTACGTACAAGAATATTTATGGAAGCATTCTTCATAATAACCCCAAACAGGGAAAACTCCAAAATGTCCATCAGGACAAGAATGAGCAAACAAAATTGTGCTACATTTATAGAATGAAATATTCAGCAATAAAAAGAATAGAATACTAATATACACAATGACATGAATAGATCTCACAGAAATTATGCTGAGCAAAATTAATCAGACACAGAAGAGAACATGTTCTATAGTTCCATTTATATAAACTTCCAGAAAAGACAAAACTAAACTACAGTGAAAAAACAAAACAAAATATTGCATTTACTATCTCTGGCAGCAGGGGATTAACTAGGAAAGGACACAGGGAACTTTCAGAAGGATGGAAATGTTATGTCTTGGATTGAAGTGCTAGTTACATGGTTGTACGCATTTGTCAAAATCAAATTCTTCACTTCTGATCTATTCAATTCACTGTATATAAATTTTACCTCAATTAAAAATAAAGGAAAGTGGGAGGTGAGGGTAGTGTCAGGGGAAGAGGAAAAGAATCACTCGAAGGACAGGATGAGATAAAGATTATAAGGAAAAGAATATGATCCTTCAATTTTTAATACATTAAGAGGCAAACTAAAGGTTTGGCCCAAAGTCAAAAATTTAAGTACAGTTTAATAGACATGAACCAAAAGAGGCAAGAACTTCTTGAACTAAGAAGATGATGAATAAAAAACAAAACACAAGATTGCCAGAATTAGCAAATATATTTGCTCTGGCAACCAAAACCAGTAGACCATTAGGCAATAAAATACCAACCGGCCTAATTTAAACAGTTAATTTTTTAAATTATCTTTTATAAAATATTGTTTTTATAATTTCTATGATAGAAATTCCTATTGAGTATGAACTCAACAGTACACAAATACCAGAAACCACCCCAAATTCACTCTTACCTTCAGTGAAACTCCCTGTTAGAGTTATTACGACAAATACTTTCCCTTCTGGCTCCAGATCCACCTAGAAAGAGAGGGGAAAATATGTTATATTCTAATTTTGAAGTATTCTTTTGGTGGATCTCAAAAAATTCTTTCCAGAGAGGCCTCAATGTGCAAATCAAAGCCACAGATCAGATCTCGGTCTTTGACTGAACAGCAGATGGGCAAAAAACAAGTTAACAGTGCAAGAAGTTGTAAAGGATGAAAAACAGATCTGAATGAAACTATCCTTGCAATGTTTCCCCTCTCTCGAAATTTTTCCTCTTCCATTTTGGCTCTTTGAGATATTGATAAGCATTCATACACAAGGTCACCGTTTCTGAAACATCCCTAACTGATGTGCAACATTTGTAAGAACAATATTTTGCTAAACCACGTGGCAAGTGTATAAAGTAGAGAAATAATGGCAACACAAAAAGCTATGAACCAATGTGATGTGGTCAGCTGCACACCTGTAGTTTTGGGAAGTAAAGAGCTTGACTGGTCTGCTGTCTCTGTCTATACCACTTCCACTTGAGTTCCATTCATCTTCAGGAAGCACCAGGAAGGGCAGTACATGTGCTGTGCATTCACTACTCTCGACTATTCACAGGAATATCAAGGCTCCTTTCTGTTCTCACCTGCGAGCTGAGAAAACAAGATGGACATCCTGCCAATGAGGCAGCTGGACGTCTTCTCACTAGATCCCATCCTCTGAAAATATGCCTGTCTCCCAAAAGCCTTCACCCAGCATAGCCCCAGGACAGGGCAGTGCCCTCCATGTCTGCTCTGACCACATGGGCCCAGGTAGGCAGGCTCTGCCCTCTTCATGCCAACCTTGAACTACCCATGAACACCTCTGAGCCATGGATTCTGATACACTTACATAAATACATAAATTTACAATATTTTAATTGTAATTAAACACATAAATTTACAATTGTCCTTAAATATTTGTTTAGCCCATGACTTCAGTTCTGCCTTTGACCTGAAGACAGAAAGGTCTGGAGAAGTTGAGTATAGATATGGATGGTATTTTGAGTAGAATATTAAATTTAAATGAGCTGCAAATCATATGGTACAGTGTTCAAACCAGACTAGAACATGGACTCCAGTCTGACTGGCACAGTGGCTCTGGGCGAGGTCTTAACCATCCCCTGTTTCAGTGCTCACATCTCCAAGTCCATGATGTCATTACTCAGCGTTTCTGACATTGCTCCCATGAGACAACCTCAAAGAACTTTGACAGTACTATCTACTGCTTATACTATACCAACAGGTGACCCATACTGAAGGGAAAAAAATGCATTGACCATAGGCTAGCTCACTGCCACCTGTCTAACACTACACGCTGCTTATACTTTTTCAAAAGTACTGACAAACAGTACCAAAGTACTGTTTTCTACTGACTCAGGAAGCTTCATCTACATAAGAGCTGATTCTTATAAACTCTGCCCTTCTCTGCCTTCAGTCTACTACTATCAACGTGGTTACCGCACTGTAATTCACCCCAGTGTTCAAACCAGCTTCTTGCATCACGACTACTGCTAACTTAACAATATTCCCTTAACTACCTCAACACCACTTGTGAACCCTTACAGAACAGCTCTGAAAATAGAACTCTCTGGAGAGATGACTAAACAGGATGTCAGTATCTAATTGTCTCCACTCTCTGCCTTGACTTGTTTCAAGTCAAAAATATGTTATTTTTAAAAGCCACTCCCTCATCTTCAATATAAAATCCTGTCAGAGCCACACACATGCACACACACTGACCTCACATCATCAACTGCTGCTGGCACAGAAGGAGCTGCTGCCAGCCTCCAGACAGACAGACTGCCAGGCCACCTCTGTGACCCAACACGCGAACTCCCTCCAACACTGCCTGATGGCCTACAAAGAAGGTCCCTCCACCCCACGGGTCAGGAGCTGCTCTGCCGGGCAGCAGGAGACTCCAGCACGGAGAACCAGGAGGTCTCACAGTGCAACAGGTTTGAGCCTCAATTTTGACCCAAGCCACCATCGCGGTGGAAAAGCCAGACTCAAATACCATCTGTAAACCGAGTTCATCTAAGCCCTCTGACCTTAGAACGAGATTTTACCAACTGCAGGTCGAGACTCAATAAGTGAGACATGAAAACCATGTGATGAGTTTCATACAACAGAGATTTTTAAATGGAACAAAAAACATAAACAAACCAAATAGGAAGGAAAAGTACCATGTCATGAAAATTGTTTGCAGTTCTGTATGCATAATAAGGGCATACTGGGCTTTATAGTAAAAATGTATTCCTCACTGTGTTACAGAGAAACAGTTTGACAATGTGGCCTTAGCGGTTATCTGCTTCATCTACACAGTGCAAGGGCTTGGCATCTATTCATGGTGGCTGTTCAGACACTTTCAGTGACAGCCATCTGATTCCACTGCAGCTGACCTCTTTCATTCCTGTCCCCCAGGGTAATCTTTCTCTGTAACCAACAGCTTCCATTGGTGGAAATGCAGTGACCAATATCTTCCATTCACCAACCCTAGTTTTGTCCCCTGTAGTTGTAGCACATATTTTAGCTCTAGGTGGAATATCCATGCCAGCTTCTGGCAACAGCACTTCAGCTTTGAGAACTAGCCTGCCCTCACATTAGTCCATGGCTCAGCTGCGATTCTATCCCTGCTTCAGAGTGGACACGTGACCCAAGTTTGCCAAGCAGAGCACTGAATTCCCTCAGTCACGACGACTGGCCTGAAAGCAACATAAGCCCTATATCACCATCTGGGTACTTGCTACTCCCTACCCTCAGTCACTGGTGCAGCTTTGGGCAACAAAATGCAAATAGGTTCAATCAGGAATCCTGGATCTATAGGAAGAAATACAATCTCACTCCAGCTGAACTTCAATCTGGAAGGACAGAAACTTGGGAATGTCTCACACCATTTTGTGACACTGGCTGCAGAATGAAGCCAATAAAGAAGGGAGAGCTGAGAAAGAAAGAGACCAGGTCTTGATGTCATTCAAAGCTTCAGATAGAATCCTGCTTGATTCTTCTGGACTTCTCAGTTATTTGAGCCCGTACATTCTTTTTCCTTTAGCCAGTTTGGGTAAGGTGTTTTTTTGGTTTTTTTTTTTTTTTTAATCACTTGCACCCAAAAAGGCTTATCCAAATTGGCAGCCTAAGAGAATAAGTCATATTTTTAATAAAGTCAATTATCACCTCCCCTGTACACCGTCTAACACCCATGCCATCCCCTGCAATCTGTTTCCCTGTCTCTTCCCAGCACTGAAACAGCTCCTGTAACCCATGTGCGCACCTGATGGTCAGATCCAAAGATGTGTCTGTCTTTCCCTCGGCTGACTTCTCTGCAGTATCTGATGCTCTGGCCAGCTTCCTCTTTCATGAATCTCTCTATAAACCCTGCTGATCCTAAGTCCCCTTTTCCTCCCATGGGAATATTCAGACTCGTGATTTCAAAACCCACCTGAGATTTTTTTGGAGTAGGAGAAAACACAAACACATCAGAACCTCCAAAAGGGTATGGTCACTTACCTAAGTCTCAAGCACAGACTTTACTTCCAAACCTATCTATGCACCTTTTCTGAAAGTCTCTGTCTCTACATCTCATTGAGACAAGTCCCTTTAATTCAACACATCCAGAGTGCAAAGTCTTATCTTGTACCCACTAATTGACTCTCCCTATTCCTGATTCCATGTTTTCCCAGCAGCCCACACTCCTCCCCAGGTGCATGTAATCCTACCAGATCCCCCCAAGCCCACTTTCTGAGAATCTCCTCAGTCCACCCCTTCCTCTCTATCCTCCCACTCTGCCTCACCTAGCCTCTTGCAGAACTGGCCTCCTAGCTGGTTTCTATCTCCAGACTCATTGTCCTCCAGCTGTTACCACTGACATTTCAAAAGTGAAAGTCTGACTTTCTAACTTAAAATCCTTCTGTGTGTCCTCTCTCTTCTATGATAACAGCCAAACTCCTCAGCAGGGCACACAGCCCTGCATGCTGCGTCCTCACCATCCCAAACACGTACAACCCGTGTCTCAGCATCTTTCAATTATCTGTAGACTCTGCGGGGAGGCATGTTATTTCATTTATAAGCTGAGAGATCAACAAAATGGATTCTGGGTCAGACAGCATAATGGAGAATGTGGTCAAAATGGTGGAAAATACCCATTACCTGTCTGAAGCTTATTGTCTAGTGATTTGGGGCATGTGGCCTTTTTATCTAGAAAATCCTTCTTTTTTAAACTGTCAAACTCCTATTTGTCCATTGAGAGTCAACTCAAAACTCACTTTGTATAGAAGACCTTCTGAGACCACTTTTGTTTTAATTATTTATTTTTATTATTACTTTTTAAAGATAGCTTTATTACTTTGCCAGGTAAAGAGGGACACATCAGGCTTGTTTTTTATAAGGGAGAGGGATTGATTTATTCATGGCTGTGTTGAGTCTTCTTTGCTGCTCACAGGCTTCTCACTGAGGTAGCTTTTCGCTACAGAGCATGGGTTCTAAAGCACATCAGGTCAGTAGGTGTGGCGCGAAGGCTTAGCTGCTCTGCAGCACGTGGGATCTTCCTGGACCAGGTATGGAACCTGTGTTCCCTGCATTGTAAGGCAGATTCTTAACCACTAGACCACCATGGAAGTCTCGAGACCTCTTTTAGACAAGTGGACAACTCCACACCATTACAGAGACCATTGCTGGAACCCACTTATAGTCATCATGCCCTGGTCACTTAGGACACTGCCTTGCACATAAGAGGACTGAAATGGTTTTGTGAGTGAGTAAATTAACAAACCAGCAAGGATATTCCAAACAGTTTCATATAGGACATGGTTTTCTCTTCCTTTAACATTCTGATAAGTTTCCTCCAGATAATTTCTCCACACCCCCATGAAAGAGTGAACATCAGCCCACAGGTGTAACCAAACCTTAACGGGATAAAGCAAGGTTATCACAAACCTCGATGTCAACACTGACAGTGCCCTTTAGTGATGCACCCACAGACTTCATGAACACTGGAGAGAAGATCCAGTGACC